GCGCTTACTGCGCGATCGGAGACGGCGAGGTACACGTCTAGCTCTTCTCCGAGCTCGGGCTTTGAGAGCACGATTGGTGACATGAGATACTCCTTCAGCTCATCAAAAGCTGCTCGGCATTCTTCGTCCCAGACGAATCCATTAACTTTTCGCAATACCTTAAGAAAGGTAGAGCGCGCTCGGCTAACTTAGAGAGGAACCGGCTGAGGGCTGCCAACCGACCGGTCAATTGCTGGACTTCCCGAACGGTAGAAGGTGGTTGCATGTCCAGAATCGCTTTTACTTTGGCCGGGTTGGGCTCGATTCCTCTCTTAGTCATCATGTAGCCGAGGAACTTGCCGGTCTGAACCGCGAATGTGCATTTGGTCGGGTTCAGCCGCAACTGGTACTTCCTCATGATCTGGAAGCACTCCCGAAGGTCCCGAGTGTGGTCGGATCGGTCCCGACTCTTGACCAGCATATCATCTATGTAAGCTTCCATCGTTCGGCCTAGCAGATCGGCGAAGAGCATATTGACCATCCTCTGGTAGGTCGCTCCCGCGTTACGAAGGCCGAACGGCATCACTCGGTAGCAATACAGCCCATCCGGGGTCACAAAAGCTGTTTTGCTCTCATCTTCATGGTGCATCATGATTTGATAATAACCCTTGAATGCATCCATGAAACTCATTAGCTCGGCCCCGGCCGTCTCGTCGACCATCTGGTGAATACTCGGTAGAGGATACGGGTCGAGCGGACAAGCCTTATTGAGGTCAGTAAAATCGATGCACATCCTCCAAGCTGGGGGCTTAGGAACAAGGACAATGTTGGCCACCCACTCGGGATAGATCACCGGTCGGATGTGCTCGATCGCCGCCATCTTTTTAAATTCTTCCCTAACGAACTCGCGGCGATCGGAAGAAAGGTGCCGGGTCTTCTGCACGACCGGCTTTGCTACGGGATCGACGGCTAGCTTGTGACAAATTACCGATCGATCGATCCCGGGCATGTCTTCAGGCCCCCATGCAAAGATATCGGCATACTCCCGGAGTATGGCCAAGATTTCCGCTCGGAGCTCGGGGGTGAGGGCCCGGCCAATCTTAATCTTCCTATCCGGTCGGTCCTCGGATAAGGGAACTTCTTCTATTTCCTCGGAAGGCTCGGGTTGTTCCTTCCGGTCTTTAGCCTCTTCTTTGGCTATGGTGTTCACCCGGGAAGATGGACCGGTATCGCGTCTATTGACCGCTCGGGTGTAACATTTCCGGGCGGATTGGACGTCGCCGCGGACTACACCGACCCCATTGGGGGTGGGGAATTTCATGCACAAGTGGGGCATAGAAATTATCCCACCGATCTTCATAATGGCGGGTCGGCCCAAGATAATGTTGTGGACGCAATGGAGGTTGACCACAACGAATTCTAGCTCTGTCTTGACCGACTTCGGGGCTGTGCCGATCTCAACCGGGAGCGTTATCTTTCCCTCAGGGTAAACAAGAGCCCCGGTAAAACCCGACAGTGGTACACCGACCGGAGTCAGCTCCTTCCTGTCAAGTCCAAGTTTTTCGAACACATCCAAATAAAGGACGTTCACACTGCTGCCAGTGTCCACCATAACCCTCTGGACATCCGTCCCTTTGACATCAATTGTGACCACGAGCGCCCCCATACCGTGGTCACCACTGCTGGGTTGATCTTCGAGGGTGAAGGTTATGGGCTCCATCTTCTGCCTTTTCCCGGTCTCCCGGGAATCCACTATGGCGACCGGGCAATTACTCCGCGGTCGGGAAGCGTCTTCCAATCCACCGAAAATGACGTGGATGGTCAGCTTTCCTGATGGTCGGCTGCTAGACGGAGGGTCAGGGTCCCGTCGGTCATCACGACGATCGTCCCTTCGATCATCTCTTCGGTCCTAACCTGACCGACCGGAGCGTCCATCACGATCAGAGCGATCGGAGCGGTGATGGGAACGCCGGTGATCCCTCCGATCGGTATTCCTCTTGTTGTCCTCTCTCTTCCCCACACACTTGTCCAACTTCCCAAGATTGAGCAAATCCTCCAACAGTTGGCGCAAGTGGGTACACTCCTCAGTGTCATGCCCGGCACATCGATGGTAAGCGCAATGCTTACTCTTGTCAGGGCCGTCTCGATCGGGATGGGGGAGTTTGATGAGATTGCAGGACTGAGCGTACTGCATGGCCTCCGCTGCGGATCGGTTCAAGGCCGTATACTCACCAGGCCTGGTGCGGGATCGGGGATGGTCGTCACCCGATCGATGTTCCGCCCGGCCGGTTGGTTTACGGGACGAAGACCCGACCTCCTGCGAGCGCTTTACGGCATTCGCCTCGCCGGCGTTGGCGTAATCGGTGACCCTCCGAAGGGCCTCCTCATAAGTGGCCGGGGGGTGTAGAATGAAATCCTGATACAAATATCCCGCCCGGAGTGAGATGTGAAGCATGTGGGTGGCGGTCGCATCATCCATGGGCTCGACCTCCCCGACCGCCGCCTTCCATTTGATGAGGAAGTCGGTCAAGCTCTCCCCTTCAAGCTGCTTGGCCTTCTCCAAGTACATATAGGACTTCTTCACCGCCTTGGAGGTGATGAATTTCCTCACGAACTTGACCGCCAGGGCATCAAATTTGTCGATCGAGCCCGGCTGTAGCGTTCGGAACCATTCCGCCGCTCGGCCGGTAAGCGTGGAATAAAAAGCCCTACACATCACGGCGTCTGATACTCCCTTCAGCATCATGTTGCCATAGAAATCATTAACATGGACCTCAGGGTCCGTCCGGCCATCGTGGCTTCTCTCCTCGGAAACCTTCAAATCAAGCGGGTAGGGCTGAGCCATTACCTCGGCCGTGAAAGGTGTCCTAAGCAAGGTCGATTGGTCGACCAGGGGCGTTGCAGGGTACGCATTTCTGAATTGCGCAAACTCCGCCTGGAGGTTGTAGAGCAATCCTCGGGTCTCGTTGAGCTCGGCGGCTTGGGCAGCTTGGGCTGCATCCCGAGCGCGTCGCCGTCGATGAGATCTCGATCCGCTATGCTCGGATGAAGCCTCCTGGCTGGCTTCCTGCATTTGCACGTCTTCCGGCTGGCGGTTTGGGTCTTGGGGCCCCAAACGTTGTCGCAGCTCTGGTCGAAGACGATCGAAAGCTACCGCTCGGGTAACTTCTTCAGGGTCCTCCGCTCGGGCAGGAACCTCCTGTGCTTGCTGGGCCTGCCGTGGTGCCTCCATCGCATCAGCACCCCCCGACCCCAACCGCGAACGAGCCGAGCGTCGAGCCCGGGAAATGGGCTGATACTGCGGCTCTACATGAGCGGCCAGGTATACTGGAGGGGCGGCGGCTGGAGCCGTGTACGCAGGCGTGAAAGGTGGATAGCCGACCGGGGGCGTGTAATACATCGGTTGGCCTGGCCAATACCCGTACGGTTGAGGTGAGACCGGGTATGGATACTGGCCGGGATACATCATCGGCTGTGGTGGATACTGCTGACCGAGTGTTTGGAATCCCGGTTGTATGTAGTTCACCGGCTGTTGGGCGGCCGGGTATGTGTTGGATGGATGCGGTGGTGAGAGATTTAGATTCAAATCCACCGTCTGACCTTGCTGTTGGGTGGCGTGGTGATCAGATGAGCTCGCTGCATCCGCCTGGTCGTCAGCGAAGTTGTTGTATGCCCACGGATACATCGTTGCAAAGAGACCGGGTGCTCGTCAAGACGTTGCTTTCTTGCACGGGTCCCCACAGACGGCGCCAAAATGATACTGTTAATTACTACGTAAGCAATAATTAAACAAACACGAGACCAATTAAAGCAAGTAAATATCTTTATTGATCACGGTGAAGGCCCTAAGTACAATCTATTTGGTTGCTCTGAGTACCGACTGGATGCGGTCGGGATTCTCTAACAACAACCTATCGATAGTCCAAAAGTCCTCCATACTGTAGCTACTGTGGGTATTTATAGCCGTTGCGCCGGAGACACGAATCCGGTCGTTCGGCATGCTCTCTACGTAGCCACCACGTGTCATCCTCCCGGGTGCCCTGTCTGTCGTCGTAAAGAGCCGCCACTTGTCCTTTGTCAGCTCTCTCGCCAAAGGGCTACCGCTTGGTGGTCGACACTGCCGCTTGGACAACTCCCGGTCGGACCCCGACTGGGTTCTTCACATGAAGCTCGACCTGTTACCTGCAAAGACAAAGAGAAAAGGACGAAAGCACCTCGGTCGGGGTAAAACTATGTCGGTCGGGATATTCCCTACCAATCTTGATATAAATCCTTATATTGTGACTTACATAAAAAATTAACTTATCCGTGCTCCAAATAAAAATTGAGTGAGTAAAATTTGAAAGTAGCTATGAGGGAACTCTATAAAATTATATTCCACTCAATAAAATTCACAATCTTTTTTTTTTGGCATTGTGCCCGACGCTTGGACTCTCTCAGACTCTTTTCAGTCTCTCAGATTCTGACACTGAACCCATCCCAACCGCACACGTGTACCTTCTCCAGAGCCCATCAGTAAATTCGTTGTCGTCCCACCAACCCCACTCCTCCAGAGACCAACTAAAAGCCACCAAGTTACGGAAGCAATTGATTTTGTTGAGGAGAATCTCAGCACTACAGGCCCACCACCATTGCTCCATGTCCATGGTAAAAAAATCCTTAGCTCTTCTTTTAAAAACTTTTTTTTTTTGTCAACAACAAATTCAGTCGTTGTCTTTAACATTCTGCCCAAGAACCAACATTCTTGCTGCTTTGCATTGTGCTTTGTGTCATTTTTATGCGGGGAGTAGGTTTATGTGCTATCCTCATATTCTAATGCTAAACGCCGGACAGATGGGTTCTACCCCAAAAAAAAAAATTTGGCTAAAAATGATCTTAGGTTGAAATGTATCGGTAAAGATTCAGGCTTTTACAGCATTATTATGCTTGTTGAGTTGACTTTACCGTAAATGGAATGGTTGTAGGAAATGATCATCATTTTTCGTTAAAAAATATTTGTATATCTACAGTGGGGTACACAATTTTGTGCTATTGTTAGGGTTTCTTATACCCACAGCTTTTGTTTGATGATGGGGAAATGAGATCAAGGATGCAAATTAGAGCATTAATATATGGGGTGCTCTAATAGTTGAAGTTCTAGTGTTAGCCACTGAGATTCTCGAGTATTTTTCTAATTTATAATCCATCATAGACAGCTGAGTTTTGGAACTTGAGCTTTTGCTCAACTCTTCATGTGATTTTTGAGACATCAGAATGGAAAACCGACGTTAAAAGTTCTCTACCTGGTCTCCATTAAGCAATTAAACTTCCCAGATTTTAACCTATTCTGATGAGAAAGAACAGCTTTGTTTGTAATTTGTCTTATCCTTGAATGTATATGATAATATTTTGTGGCCCAGTTAGAGAAATTGTTTGTTTGTGTCATAGCTTCTGGCATTGTTGTTGCTATTGTGTTCTTCTAATTCTTGTATGTCGTGTGGATTTCTGCTTTCTATGTTCACTTTTCGTGCCCTTCTTACATGCAGCATTAATAAATTAGTGGGGAAGTTGAATGTGGTAATACTATTTTATGATACTTAAGGGAAAAAGGGTTTGAACAATGAAGGCTGAAGAGAACTAGCATTTATGATCCATTTGACTAAATATGTGGAGGGATATAAATATTGGCTGCAGTGAAGCGCTAATTCTATACGTCCTCATCCATTGCCAGTAACTAAAAGTAATAAAAACTTACTCTAATAGATTAAATTAAAGAGAAGTCAACTTTTGGAATCGATTGAAAGAGTAATAGATCTATAGTTTCAACTTTCACGTCATTTCTTGAATTTTGCAGGCGGAACGCTGTGATATCTGTGGTGATATTGGGTTTGCAGAGACAATTATTACATGTGAGAAGTGTAAAATTAACCAAGAACATCTGTAAGATCCCTTGTCTTTGTGTTTAGCATGTGTGCACTTGCATTGCTCCATGATATTGTTACCTTAGCAATTATCAAGTTTGATATAGAATACTTTTTATCTGTGACGTCATCCTTTGGGTTTCCTCTTATTCCTTTATAGCCTTGTTTATTCACTCTTAAATATCACTAGATAGGTAGGTACAGATTAATTAAAAAGGAAAAATCTTCTAATAAATTAATAATGCCTAGTGTTAAGCATCATATATATACACAACACCCCCTCATGTGTGTGGGGCCAATTACTTTTTGATGGGCTCCAAGCAATCTGGTGATGTAGAGATTATAACCCATGACCATTGACTGCATTGGTTTGGCTATAATACCAAATTGAAAGGTGTGTCCGTCTCAACTAAAAGACTAAGATGATAGTTAGACAACACATTTATGTTTATATGTTATATGCTCAAGCAGTCAAGATGCCCCTAACATTTGAGGGCCTATTTAGTTTTGATAGAAAAGATTCTATTGGTAATTAATGATAATGTCCTAATACATAATTTTATTGGTACTAATATGTGTCAATTTTAAAAGTGCAATTATGGTCCTCAAAATGGAAGGCAGAAGGCCTGCCAAATGCTCCAATGTTCATGATAGTATGCATTGTGCTTATTTTCAATAGTATAGAACTAGAGATATTTCTCCTTTTGTTTAATTTCCTTATTAAGGGGAGAACTTTCATTTTCTTTGAGTTGTATCCATGCAGTGATGAGTTACGTACTTACGTCACCCTGACCCTTAATTCCTTAAATTTGGTAAATGAGCTATTCATACTCACCCCCCCCCCCCCACCCTCCCACCTTCTCTCTCTCTCTCTCTTCGTGTTCTTATCATTAAGGAGAGAACATTCATTTTCTTTGAGTTGTATCCATGCAGTGATGAGTTACGTCACCCTGACCCTTAATTCCTTAAATTTGGTAAATGAGCTATTCATAACCCCCACCCTTCCTCCCTCCTTCTCTCTCTCTCTCTCTCTCTCTCTCTCTCTCTCTCTCTCTCTCTCTCTCTCTCTTCGTGTTCTTATCATTAAGGTAGACGTTCTATCCGTCCAGAGAAGGGAAGGGGGGAACCTGTAACTTTTCTTCATGTATAGTTGGTAGATTGTTACTTTTGCAATTTGATGCTTACTAAGCATTAATATTTTCTGTCTTCTCCAGCTATTGCATGGAGACATTTCGTATAGAGCAACCAGAGGTTTGGATATGTGAAGAATGCACTCCTAGGGACGGGAATCAGTCATCATGTGGAAAGAATGGGCTTTCTGAGGCACCAAATTTTACGATCTCTTCTAAGGATCATCGTGAGAATTTACAGTGTGCATATCCAAGAAAATCGTACCGTGGTCGTGGTTGGGTTGACTGGGAAAAGAAGGTTGCAAAAGGGAGAACAAAATATATTTCTGCTGAAGAAGCAATTGTGCTACCAAAACTCCAAAATGTTGCTTCCAATATAAAGATAACTAGACATTCAAACCCCCTATCACCTAAGAAACATGTATCATCTCCATTGTCCAGGACTCCTGTCAATCCTGGTACTAGTATTCCTAAATTTCAGCAACCTAAAAAGCATCCTACTTCGTTGGGTCCACAACATTTGAAGACTCAAAGTCTTGACATTTCCAAGAAACGTCCTACTTCTTCGTCGAGTCTACAACACCCGAAGACTCAAAGTCTTGAAAATTCCAAGAAACATCCTACTTCATCAGGTCTACAACATCCAAAGACTCAAAGTCTTGAAAATTCCAACATTAGTCAAGTGACTCAACCAAAAGAGCAATCCTCTAAAGTGCTAAACGGTGATTTTGCATTGCCTTCTGCTATTTGCTTGATTTCAAATCCAGTGTAACTATTATGTCTGCAATACTTGAACGCCATCCAATCATAAAGTATAATTTCAAGGATCATCAATTCATCTTTAACATATGGATATGATTGAATCAAAATTGGAGGTGATAAATTGAAAAAAGGACTTTTTACTTTTCAGTATAGCTTTTCAAAACTCTAGCAATGTTATATATATAAGAACCCAGTATTGGATACCCAGATTTGTCATGGTTGACAGCTCTCTATTATTCATCTTTTTTTATGATTTGGCATTTATCTGCTGCTGCAACTTGTTGATTTGTATCAGTTTCAGATAGAACTGTTCAACCCCCTGCAAAGAGGCATATTGAGAGGCAACAGTCTCCCAAGGCTTTTAACCCTATTGCTGAAGTAAAAATGACTGAGAAGTTTGTGGAAAAGAAGAGGAGTGACATATTTTCATCTGTACAATCTCATTCCTGTAAACATATTATTTCAGGTAAAAATATTCTGAGCCGTATTTTGTGTGATTTTACGCCATCTTTCTTTCCTGCATGTAGTGGTGTAAATTTACAGTGGTTGTGTAATTATTTCCCCCTTTCTTTACAGAGACATTTAGTTCTTTAAACTGGCGTGACATTCGAGGCATAAGTTAACTGATTTTTGTTTTAGATAAATAACACTATTTATGCTGCTCTTGCTGCAGGACCTATGGAAAAGGAGCGAGCTGTTGAGACTGATAAGAATATTGGAGATACTAAAATAACTCGTACTATAGCCAAAGAAACTACAGACAAGCATACATCAGTGGCATCAGCTTGTTGCCTTCAGGTTATATCTGGTAAGATAACTTCATTGTTGTCTTTAGATTCGAACTGTTTTAGCATTGCGTTCCTGCAGATCCCTTCCCAGTCTAATTAGTCTAAGATGTCATCGAGTCAAAACTGATATTGTTGCTAATTCATGATTTATTAGAGTGCTTGTATGCCTTAGAAATTTCGTGCTAAAGATATCATTTTCTTTCGTCAGGCCATAAGGTGTCTTGAGCAGGCCCTAACTGTAGTCTGTAGGAGGCACCTTTAAGCCCGTATCATACTCAGACTAATCCCCATTCTCACCGGGCCGGCCCAATTAAGGGGCAAAATACTGGCCAGATTGGTTTTTCCATACGAGAGGGGGTTCGAACTCCCGACCTCTCTTAAGGGATGAGAGTGCACGGCCACTCACGCCAACCAAAGCTGGTTGTGCTAAAGATATCATTGATGCATCCTAAATTTGTTGTTTCAATTGATAGGTGATTTACAGTTATCTTTTACAAATTCAAGCTGTGGTTTTGTAGATTCTTTAGCAAAATTACTTGTGTCATGCCTACTAAACTGACACTGTGTTTGGGGTGGTTTGGTGCCTAATCTTAGTTAGTGATGGTTGTGCCACAACGGAGCGTGGGACTTCAAATGTGAATCTGATGTCTTTCTCAACTAATAACGAGAAATGCTTTAGCGATCCTGCCCAGCATCCCTCCTGGAAGTAAGTATGGAGTAGCGCATTTCCTCTTCATCACAGATAAGATTTCATTCATGATTAAATGAATATTTATTGCTCCAATGACCTTGTGGTCTAGTGGCACGAAGTGGCTAAAATGGGAGGTCATGGGTTTGAGCCTCAGTGGGGGGCGGTATTGACTCTTTGTGCTTCAGTAGGTTGAGAAAGTAGCTATGAACAGATACTACATTGTAACAGAGTCAGTAGCACTCAAAAAAAAAATGAATATTTATTGCAACTGTAAGGAATATACGCCACCAAGCTCGGTAAGTTAGGGCTCTTTTATAGCTAACATTTATTATAGGCTTTCTTGAAATGATAAAAACTTACCCAATTTTACTCTATATGTTTTGAAAACCAAGATATCGTGTTGTTGCAATCCTGATTCCGTGTCGTTTTTTTTTCTTTCTTTTTTCTACTTTTATGCATTTTCTAGGGGAAGCTTCAACGTCTGTGATAATCTTAATTTCAAGGGATTCCAAGCTCATCATCCCTTGAGAGTTCGTAGGAAGGTCTGTGAGTTCTCGAAGCTTTTACCTGAGATTCTCGACTTCAAATTAGTTCCGCGGGGGAATCTCTGGGGCAAGCTATTCCATGATTATTGCCCAACGAGAGAAGATGTAGGACTCTATTTCTTCCCGAGTGACAAGGACAGGTCAGCCTCCACACTATCTATCACCTACCTCTACTAACCTGGAAATCCACTCACCTGAGAAGGAATGTGTATGTGTGTGTGCACGTGTAGTTTATGTATTATGTGTTTATTTACGTTTGTACATTTACTAGATCCAAAGAGTACATGACCCTACTGGAGTTGATCCGAGACCAAGACTTGATGATGAGAAAGCAGATAGACAATGTTGAAATACTTGTTCTTACGTCTACTGTGCTGCAAATGGAATGTCAAAGTATGCTCCCGAGTCCCGAGTAGTTTGCGTATTTTTCCCTTTTAACCTCTTGTTTCTTTGAGTCAAAGAAGCCAGTAGATCTGTTGTTTGATTCTAACTATAAAATGCGGAAACCTAACAATCCCGATTTTCTTGCAGAAGTGGAAGGAAAGTACTTCTTGTGGGGGTTATTTCACCGCATTGGTAAAAAGGACAAAGTGGTCAACATAGAATTCGTTGACAAGGAGGTAGACATTAGCGGTAAAGACAATGAGGAGGTGGTCGCCATGGAAATTGACATGACAGGTGGGGGGCCGAGCGTGGGTAAAGCCGACTCTATTAACAGTGGAGACGATGATAAAGAGGTCGACATGGAGATTGACATGATAGGCGGGCGAAATGTGGGTAAACAAGATGTAGTAATTCGACGTGACAGTTCTGGGAACAGATACGAAAGCTCGACACCAACAACACCTGTTACTGCCAGCGGTGTGATGCAATGTGGTCTCTCAAAAGTTAAAAGAGAAGAACCATTTCAAGATTGGCCTCCGGGTTTTAAACCTAGGAACAAATCTGAATGCTCAACACCGACTGCTGGTGGAGATGTTAGTGTTCCTCCGGGTTTTAAACCGTTACTGCCTAGGAGCAAATTTGAATGCTCAACACCGACTGCTAGTGGAGATGTTAGTGTTCCTCCGGGTTTTAAACCGTTACTGCCTAGGAACAGATCTGAATGCTCAACACCGACTTCTGTTGGAGATGTTCGTGTTCCACCGGGTTTTAAACCATTACTGCCTCCCTGAAAACCATGAATAATGGCATATAATGGGTGGTGGTAATGTACAGCTTGCTTTTGGCTTGTGACTCAAACTCCTTTCCCCTAGAGGCTAGATCAAGCTTACTGGGGGTGAATATAGAGTAACTTTGTTATACAAGTGCTGTAAATTTGAGAGATTGATTGCCTGTGGATCACTGATAAAGTAATCTTTTGTTATGGTTGAGCGTAATTCAGATTATCCGAACTAATACTGAAATTCGAACTGAATTTTAAATTTCAGGTGAACCTGAATAGTTATCGGTTCAAATATTCTGAAGTGTCATCCTTCACTTTTGAGGTTGCTTGCCTGCCTGTGCAAAAAACATTGATGAGAAAGTGAAACTTTTGCATTCACTTAAGTTTTTTTTTTTTTTTTTTTTTTTTTTTTTTTTTTTTTTTTTATGGTTTTTTAATAGCTTTTCTTAGCTTTCCATTCTCTTTTCTTTACTTTCTATCTTTCAACATCCTTCGAGAGTTCATAGGAAGGTTTATTAATGAATTCTCAAAGCTGTTGAACACCCAACCCTATGGTCAAAGAAAACAGTAGTTGGGGTAATTCCAGCCAAGTTAGTTAAGGATATAAACTTGTAGTTATAAGCTCACGAGTTTAAATTTTAACATTTTTTGTTTAAATCGGTCAACTATGGAGTTGATTTACCTCCTTATGCTCCTTTGCCGGCTAAGATTGAGTTTACCTAGTGTACATCCTCAAGTTAGTTAGACTCTTGATTTGATAATCACAAAATTATAAGTTTGATTCCTATATAACAAATTTCTATATATTCATCCCCAATAAACAAACAGATAACAAAATTGATTAAGGGGGTGTATTCAATCATGACTTTTGTAGAGTTTTAACGACTTTTAAAATGATAGATTTTAATAAACTTTGATTGACTTTCATAGAGTCGTTCAAAACTTTTTAAAACTTTATAAGACTATATAAAAGTCTATATAAAAAACATTCATAGATTTTTTTTTATCAACTTTTTATTTTAAAAAGTCTACAAAAGTCATTGAAATTCTAAATTGAATACATTCTTACAAACTTTCAATGATTTTGATTCTTATGATTTACAATTTTCTTACAAAACATTTATAATATATAATAGGGAAAGGGGTCAAATAGGCCCTCGAACTTTAGCTTAAAAGTTAATTAGGCCTCTAAACTTTTTAAAGGTGCAATTACACCCATCAACAATTCATTTAAGTGCAATGAAGCCCAAAAACCAATTAATGACCTGCTATCATAGGTCATTAGGGTTCAGGCCACCTTCCGGCGAATTTTCCTGCAAAAAAAAAAAAAGTGACCGGCAAAATTTTCGACAAAAGAAGTGACTGGCGAAATTTTCGGCAAATCTGGGTCGGTTGCTGGTCACCTTTTTTTTGTCAAAAAATTCGCCGAAAAGTGGCTTGAACCCTAATGACTTGTGATAGCAGGTCATTAACTTGTTTTTGGGCTTCATTGCACCTAAATGAATTGTTGATGGGTGTAATTGAACCATTAAAAAGTTTAGGGGCCTAATTGACTTTTAAGCTAAAGTTCGAGGGCCTATTTGACCCTTTTCCCTATATAATAAAATTCTTCTTATTATATATATATATATATATATATTTTTTTTTTTTTTTGAAAGTTACTGGCTCTATTACATTGTAGTATCTGTTCATATACTTTCTCAACCTACTGAATTCTTCTTATTATATAGTTCTTCACCCACATCAACATTCTTAACATTATTATTTTATGAATTAATTCCAGCAATGGTCCTCCAACTATAGTGATTTTCCAAAATTAGTCATCGACTTTTAATTTGGACACTTTAGGTCCCTTGACTTTCAATTTCTTTCCAATTGAGGTCATTTCGTTAGAATACGGTTCATTAGACTTTAAATGAAGGGGTAAACTCGTCCTTTCACCTGCCTATGTATTATTCTTCGTATTTCTCCCTTCGTATTTCACTGTTATACCTTGTAAACATCTCAATAATAGAGGAACGCACACACGAGTAGTCAGCAAATGGGGAACGACGATGAACATTTTAGGGTTTCGACTAAGATTATCTTCATATATATCGCGTATACAATGGAGAAATACTAAGAATAATACATAGGCAGGTGAAATGATGAGTTTACCCCTTCCTTTAAAATTCAATTAACCGTATTCTGACGAAAGGACCTCAATTGGAAAGAAATTGAAAGTCAAGGGACCTAAAGTGTCCAAATTAAAAGTCAATGACTAATTTTGGAAAATCAATATAGTCAGAGGACCATTGCTGAAATTAACTCTTATTTTTATCCATAGTATACTGAGACTTATATGCTAATTACTTATATATATATATATATATTATTAGTAAACATCAACAAAAAAAAATCATTAGAAATTCATAACAATATTGAACAATAAAATTTATAATAAAAGACTTGATCAAATAAAATATTTAAAAATATAATTACAAGTTGCATTAAATAACAAAATAAAAATATAATATTAATATTAATAATATATATATAATTATACTTAATATATTGTTAGGCATCACGCAAACAACTATTATTTACAATAGCAATTTGAGACTGCGAACAACAAGGTGTTACAATTTACAACCACAAATTGTTGTTGCGAATAGTAATTTGCTATTCGTAATAACCTGTTTAAAAAAAAAATGAAAAATATATAATACGAATATAAACATAAACAGAATAAAATAACACTATATAAGTATTTATATGATATTATGAAACATATACTAAAATTTGACGATGAAAAATTTGTTTTGTTCATATATTTAGGGAGAATTAGAGAAAGTTAGGGATAAAAAATTCATAGAAAAAAATAAAAATCAATATAAACAAGCAATAATGCAGTAAAAATAATATTATTTTGAATTTTTAGATGAAGATTCTAAAGTTTAGGAGAGAGAGAGAGAGGATTAGTACAGTTTAGGCATGAGGAAAATATAGGATAATGAAGAAGAAAATAATTTTAGATATGTTTATAGAGTTTAAATAGGGAAAAATAGAGTTTAAATAGAGAGAGAAAACATTCAAAGTTGTTAGAAAGAAAATTTGAAATCTTGGGGTTGATGGTTGGATTTCAACTATTTATATTTGAGAAGGAAAAGTCTACAAAAGTCTTAAAATTAAAAAGTCTACAAAAGTTCATAACTTTTTGAATATCACATGACTTTTAAAGACTCTTTAAAAGTCTTAATCGAATACCACACGACTTTTAAAGACTCTTTAAAAATCTTGATTGAATACCGTCTAACTTTTAAAGACTCTCTAAAAATTTGAATTAAATACCTTCAAACTTTTAAAGTTCATGAAAGTCATGATTTGAATATACCCCTAAGATTTTTAAAGATGTGCCTCCGAATTTTAACCGAACCTCTGTATCTAGGAACAAGACACATAAAAATATGGAGAGAGTACAGTTTTTTTTTTTTTTTTAATACATTTGAAAGATAAGACCCAAATTTAGATTAAATAAATGTATATAAGAATGATTAATTTAGTATTTTGACTGCACCTCAGTATGTTTTTCACACTCGTATTGATACTATTTTGTTCCATTGTAATTAGTATGAATAATCCAATAAAGTATCAAATCTTTGTGGGGAAAATTGAGGTGTTTCGGGGTATTATTTTAGTGAATGAGAAGTTTTACTTAAGATTTTCTTTCGGTTGTAGAGTGAGAGTTTGATTCATGTCTTCATATTGGGAGTTTAGGTTTGGATTTGGCTCTTTATAGTTTATACACTAAAGTGTACAGTTTGATGTTGAATTTCAAAATTAGATTATCCCAATTTATTTCCATTAAAAAAAAATTATTCCAATTTACTTTCTCATAAACTTAAGGACAAATTCAAGAAGTTATGACATAATCTGATGAAGTAAAAAAAAAAAAAAAAAACTTAGATTATTATCATATAATAATAAGGGCATGCTCATTTGTGTTGATTTTTTGAGATTTTTTGCAAGTCATTGGGAGAGAGAAGTGAGATAAAAATAGGGGGAAAAAAAAAGGATTCTGATAAAAAAAAAAAAAAATTACGTACACGCACACCTCCACCTAATGAAGCACACGTAGTCAATAATGACTCCACTGAAATTCGATCACATGACCTTCCATATAAGAGAGGTCACTACATGCTATCTAAGAACAAGGTACTTGACATATAATTATATGATGATTGTATTAATTATTATATTGATAATGTTATTCATTATGTTTGATTGTGATACACCCATGATGCAACGTTATTGTTATTGTGAATTATTAATTTGAAAAGAAAATGTGTATTTTTCTAAAAGAAATTAATCCTAAAAATAAATACTTGCTTTAAAAAATTAAAATAAAAAGACGCATGAATAAAACAAGAAATATCAACAATATACTCCGTAATAAATTAAAAAAATATAAACTATTTAAAAGTAATCTTAGAATATGTAAAAATTTTAATGAAATTACCTTAGATATGTTGGAAGAAAACAGAATCAAGAGTGGAGAGGGAAAAGTCAGGATCTCTTTCATTCATCTGTTTCATTCCTCAAGCATACAATATATGACAATACATATATATATAATACAAAAGCCATAATGATGGTATTAATAATGACCGTTACATCCGTTATAGAAATAATGTCCACTTATGATATATTTATAACACTCCCCCTTGGACATTATTTGACCACGATTTTGTCTCGTCAAAAATTTGCTAGGAGAACCTTGTGGGAAAAACCTATACAAGAAAAGAGTACAATAGAAAATATATTCATGCCTCATTAAAAACTTCACTAGGAAAATCACGTGGGAAAAACCTAGTTGAAGAAATGAGTACATGATATATGTAAAAACATATATTGTATTTGGTCGCCTCATTAAAAACATTAACTTAAGAAAACCCTGTGGGAAAAACTTAGTTAAGGAAAAAAAGGTACAACAATAAGCATTCAGGGCGCAAACCGCATAATCTTCAGGATTTTGGGGTTTGTCCATTTAAGCAATTATTTTGCAACTTTTCTTCATTGTCATTACTATATCATACTCATGCCTTGTTAAAAACCATACTAGAAAACCCAATGGGAGAAAACTAGTGAGGAAAAGAGTACATGATATTTATGTATTTATGTGTTGCAAATAGTGCGCAACTGTTAGTCTTTTATGACTTAAT